CGAGGTTTGAATTTGTTCTTCAGTTCCTTGAGCTTAAGATATGCTGAGCGAGTTCGGCCCTTTTGATTTTCTGACTCCAACTCCTTGTACATTTCATGTGTGAATGACTTTTTAACTTACGTTTTTTAAAACATTGTTCAAAAAAGGAAAAAAACACAGGCTCAAATGCAGTAGAGCAACTCACCTATTGGTATTGAATGCAAATGAGTTTTATTAAATCCATCTCCTGAGAGCTCTCAGTGGGATGGTCCCTTTCAAGTACAGGCGTAGATTTGTATGTGTTCTGACCCCCATAGGACCCATGTGGTTTCCAACCAAAGACTGAGATTCACTTTGAGCTAGAAAGACCTCCTGAAGGACACACTCCAACATCTTCACCTGGGTGAGACAGGAGAACCTCCTGGAATGTAGTTTCTGCAAATGACTCCTTATACCATTTCCAGGACCAGCGGGACCTAATTTGGCAGATTTCCTTGTATAGAGCCAGTTGGAAAAGTTTGATATCTTAGCTAATCAACTCATAAAAGCATGGTGCTCTTTTTGTGACTGAGCTATTTTACTCAGCATTGTGCTGGGTAAAAAGCCAAATACTGCACAGTGCCACTGATGTAGAATGGGACTGACGTCAGGGCTGGGGTAAGACTGAGAAAACTGGATACATTGAAACAAATGAGGGAGAGAACAGTTTAAAAGCGAGACATGATAGGAATCCACAGGAATCCAGAATTAAGGTTGCATAGTGGAGTGTATTAAAAAGTCAGCTGTGAGAGACCTCTCAAGAGTACTGAAGAGCAATGACATCAAGCTGGAGACTAAGGTGCACCTCATCCAGGCTATAGTCTTTGTAATTACGTGTTATGCATCAGAGAGTTGGACAGTGAATAGGTATGACAGAAAGAGTATTGAGGTCTTTGGGCTGTGGTGTTGGAGAAGAGTGTTGAATATAACATGGCCTTCTAGGAGAACAAACAGGTTTGTCCTGGAGAGGCTGAAGCCAGAATGCTCCCTGGAGTCAAGGATTCTGTGAGTTGAGTGGTGGGAATGAATGTGTTTGAGATGGTATGGTTGGCACAGGATAGAATGGCATTTAGGACTCTTGTATATAGGGTCGCTATGAGACACAAGTGACTCAATGGCACATAACAATAATAACAACATGTTTATTGCAGCTGGGCTCTATTAGGAGAAATGCGGCATCAGGATTGGTGAAAGATCTATCAACAATCTGCATTATGCAGAGGACACAACCCTGCTTGCTGAAACTGAGGAGGACTTGAAGCGCTTTCTGCAGAGGGTCAAGGACTGCAGCCTTCAATATGGACTGAGAAGACAAAGATTCTCAGCAATGGACCAATTGACAGCATCAGGATGGATGGTGAAGAGATTGAGATTGTTAACAACTTTAGTCTGCTTGGCTCCATAATCAACACTCTTCGCACCAGTAGCCAGGAAATTAAAAGACATATTGCAATGGGAAAGTCTGCTGTTAGGGACCTCTCCAAAGTACTGAAGAGCAACGGTGTCTCTCTGGAGACTAAAGTGCATCTGATACAGGCCATGGTCTTTGCTATCACTTGTTATGCACCAGAGATTTCGACAATGACTTAAGGAGGATAGAAGGAGAATTGATGTCTTTGAGCTGTGGTGTTGGAGAAGAGTATTGAGGGTACCATGCACTGCTAAGAAAACCAACAGATTTATCCTAGAGAGGGTTAAACTGAGCTGCTCCTTGGAGGCAAAGATTCTGAGGCTTTGTCTGACATACTTTGGTCATGTTGCAAGGAGAGACTGGTCCTTGGAAAAGGACATCATGTTTGAGAGAGTGGAGGAACAGCACAGAAGGGGAAGGTCCTCTATGAGGTGGATTGATCCGGTGACTGGGGTAATTGGGATGAGTGTGTCGGAGACAGTGAGCTTGGCACAGGACATACAGAATTTAGGGCTGCTGTACATAGGGTTGCTATGAGTCACAAGCGACTCGACGGCACATAACAACAACAACATGAAGCAGCTATGACAGATGTTAGGTCAGAGTTGGATATTTACCATTTTTTTCTTAAATATTTTTCAGTAGTGTTACACATGTATTTGAAAAAGAACGAACAGGAGGGTCTTTGAGAAGATGCAGCTAGAGTGCTCCTTGGAGGTAAAGATGATAAAGCTCACTTTGGGCCTGTTGCTAGGACAGAATATTCTTGGAGAGGGGCGTCATGCTTGGAAGAGAGGAAGACCCTCAACCAGATGTATTGACACAGTGACAATAGCAATGGTTTCAAGTATGTCAGAGATTGTGAGGCTGGCATAGGGGTGGAGGAGGTTCAAATCTGTTGTTCATAGTGTTGGTATGAGTCATACTTGATTCAATGGCATCTAACAATAACAACAGTGTTATTACTTTCACAAGAGCATTCCAGAACCGTAGTTAAGCCTAAGAAACAAAATTTTCATGGTTTCTTGAGAGTCTGCATGGTAAGAATATACTAGGTAGCTTTGGAGATATCTATGAAAATATATAAATAAATCAGAGAGCACCAAAGAGATTTGTTTAATTAGAAATTTAACTGTATCAGCTGGAAAGGATCCCAAGTGGATAGAGATAAATTTATGGGTTTTTTTTTTAGTTGAAAGAGCACTCCACCTTAAACCTGAATGGACTTTTGAAAGGAGAATTGAATAACTTTGAAGAAATAAAAGGTTTTGGCTAAAACTGAGCTGTTATCATATATATAGTTACTAATACTTTTCTATCAATCTATTAAGTTGCCTCTTAATTTTGTCAATATAGTTCCTTACACAAAAATAAGTTGTGTTTCTATAAATAAGCTCTTAGTAGTCTAAAAATTAAAATAGGGAAGCAGATTTACTTATGACATTTAAAAGAATAAAATACCTAAGACCAAAATTTAACCAAGATCATTAAAGAGTTCCACAATGAAGACTCTAAATATTATAAGTAAAATTAGAGGCTACAGACTTCAATATGGATTACATCTCAACAGCAAGAAAACAAAACTTACAACTGCATTGATAGACAATGTTATGATAGAAGGAGGGAAAAATTAAAATTGCCAACAATTTCATCTCACTTGGATCTACAATAAACAGTTTCGATACCAAGTTGTTGTTGTTGTTGTTATGTGCCGTCGAGTCGTTTGCGACTCATAGCGACCCTATGCACAACAGTCCTAAACGCTGCTCTGTCCTGCGCCAACCGCACTGCCTCTGACACACCCATCCCGATTACCCTAGTCAATGAGTCAATCCATCTCATAGAGGGTCTTCCTCTCCTGTGCTGTCCCTCCACCCTCCCAAGCATGATGTCCCTCTCCAAGGACCCGTCCCTCCTGGCAACATATCCAACGTATGTCAGACGAAGCCCCAGAATCCTTGCCTCCAAGGAGTAGCTTGGTTTAGTCCTCTCCAAGATGAATCTGTTTGTTTTCCTGGCAGTCCATGGTACATTCAGTAGTAAAAAAAAAAAAAAAAAAGCTGTGTTGCATTTGCGAAGTCAACTGTGAAGGATTTCTCCAAAACCCTAGGGTCTAATAATGTCAGGATAAACATTAAGATCTGAATAATTAAAGCAAAAGTCTTTTCAAGCATCTGCGAGGGGGACAATGAATAACTATGCATTTGAACTGTGGTGTTGCAGAATACTGAAAATATCATGAACTGCACAAGACAAATTGATCTGTCCCAGAGAAGTGTAGCTGTAATGCTCCTTGGAGGAAAGGATGGTAAATATTTGTCACACGTTCTTTGGACATGTTTTTTTGAAGTAGCTATTTCTTGGAAAAGGAAATCATATTTGAAAAGGTGGAGGGTCAGCAAAAAAGAGGGAAACCCTCAGTGAGATGGACTAACACAGTGCAGTGATGGTCTCAAGTGTACAAGAGATAATGAGGATAGCACAGGTTAGAACAGTGTTCACATCTGTTGTTCAGAGTGTTGCGGTGAGTATTTCTAAACTCTAAGTCATCTAACAACAATAACAATAGATAAAAGGATATTCTATGCTTACGGATCAAACACTTATTTTTAATTTTGAATATTACCTAAGAGGTAAGTAGATTCAGCACAACTTCAACAGATATGTTTTGATTATTTTAACAAACTCCTTGAGTGACAGACAAAACAGTTTAGCTCAATTAGAAAGTCAGCTGGGAAAAGACTTTTCCCCCAGAGCCAATAGTATTTCCTATTTAAGGAATACTATTCTTTCTGAGAATAGAATATTTTAGAAAGTGACCAGCCACTATCTCTGAACTGAAATAAACCTGAAAGAATAGTAAAACTGAAATAATAATCCCTTCTTTGTCCTTTTCTTGCTTTTAAACAGACCAGTGAAGATAAACATGGAATTCACCCTAGTCAAACAAGTAAGTATGACATTTTTCTGCCTACTACACTATTTATTTTCATATGTATTTTTACCCAATTTTTGAAAAAAACAAATCTTTTCTAAACTTTACTCACATTGTCCATATATCAGTCATAGTATTATTATTTTCATAATTATAAAATGCTACAGATATAAAATGTGAAAAATCCATAAAATAACCAATACATCACAAAGTTGATTGTTGTTCTATTCATCATCATTCTAGTCTAACATTTATGGATTGATTACTCTATGTTATACACAGTTTTACGTAAATATTTCTGGGAGCTCTGGTGGCCTAGTAGTAAGAATCTGTGCTGCAATTCCAAAGGCATGTGGTTCAAACCCACCAGCTGCTCCACCAGAAAAGTTGAGCAATCTTCTCCCATATTATTAACTGCCTCTGAAAACTCACTCAAGGGTTAAACTTGGGTCAATGACATACTACAACAACAACATTAATTCTGTGATTTATATGCATATGCATTCAATTAGTATATACACTTAAGAAGAAAAGAGACATTCCAGCATATATGTGTAATTATTTTCTTTATGAGTTGTACAAATAACATTTGTAAAGATTTGGAGAATAGAGTGAAATTGCCTATGATTTCATTTTACTTGCCTCCACAACCAATATCAACAACACTAGCTGTCAAGAAATCAAATCTGCTGCCAAGTACTTCTTTGAAGTGCTAAAGGGTAAGGATGTCTCTTTACTCAAACCATGGTATTTCCAGTTGCTTTATATGCATTGAAAGTTGAAGAAAGAGTAAGGAAGATTGAAGGAGAATTGATGCCTTTGAATTATGGTTTTGGTAAAGAGTATAAAGTATACGTACCATAAGCTGTCTTAAGAACAAATGAAGCCTAGAAGAGATACAGTCAGGGTGCTGACTAGAAACAAGGAGGGTGAGAATTTGTCTCCTGTTTTTGTTGTTACCGGGAGAGGCCAGTGATTGCAAGGTCAGCAAAAGAGAGGAAGAAGGATTCAAGGAGATGCATTGGCACAGTGATTTTAATGATAGACTTGAGCACAGCAGAAAGCGTGAGGATGGAGCAGATGTGCAGGGTGTCATTCTTTTGAATATAGAATTGCTGAGTCAGAGCCAACTTGACCATGCCTAACAACAACAGGAACAACAATGCCTTTACACTGAGAACCAGTTTTGAAATTTCCCAACTTTATTTCTCTATTTTATAGAAAAATTGAGGAAAACAATTGAAAATATTATTAGAGATAGGTTTGCAATTCTATAGGGTGTTTGGGTTGTTGTTGTTAAGGTTTCTTCAAGTATTGGAGTTTCTTTTCAAATAGATCAGTAAGGTTTACTGCTAGAGGATGTCTAAGGCTGAGAAAAGAGTTTTTAAGAAAACAAACACAATCAAGGCTGTAGTTTCTGAGACAAAGGTATCATCACAGTACTTGGTGCATGCACGATACATTGTGGTTAAAAATTAATAAATTTTAAAATTATTGTCATTTATTAAATTCTAATATATTAATATTTAAATTATAATTCTCTTTAATATATTAAGCTTCATATACAGAGGTGAGTAAAATATGATTTTTATTTTGTGGAATGGTGAAGTGAAAGAAATCTAAGTTTGTTGGGTCTTAGACTTGGGATCATATGTTAGTAGTATTATACATTGGACACTAATTTCCAATATTTTTAATATTTAGTTGCATTATGTTGAACATTCAATGCAGATTTTTATTGAGATTACTGTGTCACATAATGATTATACAAATATTTTTAGTGATCTTAACTGTTTTAGAATATTGTGGATGCTACAATGTGTATTTATTTACTTTTCTCTTATTCACTCACAGAAAGTCCACAGAATTTCTAAATTTTACTTGGATTGTTGCTACTGTCCCCACTGTGTCTACCTAAGAGATTCTTTACACTAACACTTGTTGTTAGATGCAGTTAAGACAGTTTCTCCTCATAGATTTGCTGTGATCATCAGAATGAAATACTACCAGCACTGCAACACCCTCACAATTGTTGTGGTATAATTATAGGTGAGTTTTTATTAACTCTTTTTGAAGGGATTTAATATCAGTTGACAAATCTGGTCAAAAAGTTGGCAGTTGGAATTTACCATGAAGTTATCTGGGAACATAGCCTTAAAAATCCCAAGGGGGTTTTGTTTTTTCTTTTTTATTTTTTTATAAGTTTTCTGTGCACACGAGTTTGAAAGGCCTCAAAAGGAACTAAAACAGCAATAATCTGTATTTGTTTTCAAATTAATACATGATATAGATGTTATCCAGCAATGCTGAAAATAGTAAGGTAATAGATCACATCACCACATATTATGAGCTTAATACACGATGCAACATAATTTTCAATGCTACATGTAGTACTTTGTAGTACTTTGTTCACGAAAACATAATTTATTAATATTAATGAAACTCAATTTAATAACTTCTGTGGAAGTTTTCAAAAAGAAACAAATTAATTTGAATCTTTAGATTGATTTCCAAGTGATAAGAATCATCTCTTATCCCAAATCTGGCAGGCTTCCCAACATTTGTAGGCTAAAGTATGCAATTATAAATTTTTTCCCTCTTTAATTAGTCTGTTAAAGAATGATACTGTTTTTATTTTATTTTCAGCTATAACAAGGAAATAATTGTTTAGATGTTAAGACAAAATGAAAGACAAATATTAATAATTATATTAAATATTCAAAATTATAATATGTGGCTTATCAGGTATTTATTTGTGCAGTGATACTTATTTTCATTGATTGCCAATGATTAATTTCTCATAGTAAAGACATGGAGGAAAACCCATCACTTAAAAGAATTGTAATAATTACTATCATTAAACAAAATTTCATGTTTAGAAACTTTGTATGTTTATATAAATAGCAAATTTAAATTCACATTTCTCATCAGAAGAAACCAAGGAAGATATTTTTAGCAGAAAAAAAAACAGGGAAAATTAATTGAACAATAATTAAAAAACCACTTATTTTTTAGCAACTGTAATTTATAAGATTTGTACTTCTATTGAAGTGAAAAATATTACAAGACAAATCACTCTCTGCAAGTGAGGGTACAAAACCCAAGAAGAAGAAATTAAAATTTATGCCTCATAAATTCTTTCCTACAGATGAAACGTGGGATGAAAACAGCAGAAGGCAATGTTTCCACCATGACACAATATGTACTTCTGGGATTTTCTGACCTTCCAAATCTCCAAGGGTTTCTATTTGGAGTGTTCTTCATAATTTACATAATTATTATAATTGGAAACAGCCTTGTAATAATAGTAACCAGACTCGATCCTACATTACAGAAACCCATGTATTTTCTCCTGGCAAATTTTTCCTTTTTGGAGATTTGTTATGTATCTGCCATTCTCCCCAGGATGCTACTTAATCTTTGGACTCAGCAGAGACGCATTTCTTTGGGAGAATGTGCCACTCAAATGTGCTTCTTTCTTATGCTGGGCGCCACTGAATGTTTCCTCCTGGCGGTGATGGCTTACGACCGCTATGTGGCCATCTGTAACCCTCTGCACTATCCTCTAGTCATGAATCAAAAGATGTGTACCCAGTTAGCAGTGGGTTCTTGGGTTATTGGAATCCCAGTCCAGATAGGATTAACTGTGCAGATTTTCTCTCTGAATTTTTGCAAATCAAACCGAATTAATAGCTTCTTCTGTGATACTCTCCCTGTGATCAAACTTGCCTGTGGAGACACTTTTGATATTGAAGTGTTTGTCTATGTAGAAACTATGCTGTTTGGTGCTGTCCCTTTTATGTTAATACTCACGTCCTATAGCAAAATTATTTCCACTATTCTGAAATTGCCAACAGACTCAGGAAGAGCAAAAGGTTTCTCCACATGTTCTTCTCACTTGCTGGTTGTTGTTTTATTCTTTGGATCTGCAACCATCACCTATTTAACACCCAAATCTAATACTTCCGCAAGAACAGCCAAACTACTCTCCCTTTTCTACACCATTGTGACTCCCATGTTTAATCCCATGATATACAGTCTTAGAAACAAGGATGTCATTGCTGCACTGAGAAAATTATTGTTTAAAATGTAAGATGATGAGGTGGAAACAACCTAAATGCCCACTCAAACAACCAATATGGTATATACGTACAATAGATCATTTAATATTCATAAAGACAAAGAAAACCTGTATGCACAGAACAACATAAATGAAAGCTGAAACCTTTATTCTGAGTCAAGTGAGTTATGCAAAATAAAGGACTTTAAGAGCTGATTTTAGTGAAGTAAGTAAAATTCCAAAAATCAGCTCCAAATTAATAGTTTAATCACATCTGCAGAGTCCCTTGTAAGTAGCATATTCAATTGAAAGGATTACAATGTGTTTGTCATCATCTTATAATAAAGAAAACCTGTTAACTTTATAGAGTAAATCTGAAGACCATCTTACTAGACGAGAGGTACCCAGTATAAACAATTTTATCTTTGACAGTCTATACTCCCGATATTCAATGTTATAATATTTTCAGATCTTCCTATGTGGTACTGAGTCTTTTAAATTTTCATGGCAAAACTCTAGATGCCCTTTTAATTGCTAAATAAAACATCTTCATAACTCATGACTAAGAAACTATCATCCTCTTATGGAGTTCTGATTGCATTACCTTTTTTTTCCACATTTGGTAAAGAAATTAAAAGATGTTGTTTATTCTTGGGAAGCTCTGGTGATCTAATGGCTGGAAGCTGCACTGAAATCCCAGAGGTATGCGGTTCAAATCCACCAGATGCTTTGCTGGAGAAAGAGGAGCAATGAGTGTGTACGTATATGTGTGTGTATATATAGCTCAATCATACACATAGTATTAACATAGAAAAATACACATTTGATTATTGCTGCTGAGAACGCAGTAATTAAAACCGCTAATACACTAAAAGAAACAGTCAAGATCTTCAACAAATACTCCGATTAATCATACATTAACATTTTTTTACAAAGATCCTCATTGGCATCAAGTCAGAATCAACTCAAAGTTGACCCTCTAGTAAGTTTTCAGAGGTTGAATATTCCATGGCAGGAGATTACCCATCTTTCACATATGCAGAAGGTGGTAGATTCAAATGTCATGTTTTTTAATTGACACTCTTTGCCAAGAGACCATTAAAGCATTGCAGTTTCTTCTCTTTCTCTCTCTCTCTCGTATGCCTGTGTGTATGGTGATATATAACACATACATGTATGTTATGTATGTCTATATATCTATATACACACATACTTTACATTATGCTATATATTGTTGCTGTGTACAACAGAGTCAGAACCAACCTACAAAGAGATTCTTGTTTGTTGTTGTTGAGTTGAGCATGACTCATAGTACTCTATGAACACAATGACCTGAACCCTGATATGCCCCGTGCCATCCTCACACGTCCTGAAACACAAGAGCCCATTCACTGCAGCGGCAACCTTGTCAATATATCTGGTTGAAGGTCTTCCTCTCCTTCACTGACTCTCCACCCTTCCCAATATCATGTCCCTCTTTAAGGAACTGCATCTCCTAGCAACATGTCCAAAGTATGTGCGGCTAAGCCTCATCATTCTTGTCTCTGAAGAACATTCCGGCTGCATCATCTCCAACATACAACTGTTCATTCTCTTAGCTGTCCATGAGATGTTCAGTACTTTTCTCCAACACCACAGCTCAACAGCTCTCATCCGTATTCATTACCCAGCTCTAGGATATATAGCTAGTAATCAGAAAAACTATGGCCTGAATCGGACACACTTTAGTCCTCAGACTGACATCACTATCCCTCAATTATTTGGAGAGGCCCCTAACTGCACGGTTCCAGTGCAATATGTCTCCTTATTTCCTGACTACTGCCAAGGGTATCTACCAAGTACCAAGGGTGTTAATTGGAAGAGGTGTGGATCAGGGTTGAATACTTTCTCCATATCTATTCAATTTTTACACTAAGCAAATTATTTGAAAAGCTGGACTCAATGAAGTAGAATGTGGACTCAAGTTTGGAAAAACGTCTTCAACCAACAACCTGTTTTATGCAGGTGACTAAAACCTTGCTTGCTGAAAGTGAGGAGGACTTGAAATGCTTGCTACAGAAGATCAGACTACAGTCTTTAATATGGGTTGTACCTCAACGTCAAGATGGTGAAAATCCTCATCAAAGGGACAAAAGCAACATTATGATATAGAGAGAAAAGGTTGGAGTTGTCAATAATTTTATCTTACTGGAATCCAAAATCTCTTGGTTCCAGGAGTCAGAAAAAACAGGGCTTGTATTAAGTTAGGCAAGTCTGCAATCTTCTCCAAATAAGTGGGGAACAGTGATGTCAGCAGTGAAGACTGAGGTGTGTCTTTTTAGGACATGGCTTTTCAATCATAGTTACACATCTGAAAGCTCAACAATAAACAAGGATAACAGAAGAATTGAACCCTGTGAGCTGGGATGTTGGAGAACAGTATTCAATATCTCAAAGACTGCAAAAAAGAAGCAAGTAAGTTCATGAGAAATTGCAGCAAAAGTGCTCTTCAGAGGCAAGGACAATAGTGCTTTGTCACAAATACTTACGTTGATCATATTTTAGGGTGCATATTCCTTGGAAACGAACATCATGCTTGGAAAGGTGGACAGTCAGCAAAAGAGAGAAAGACCATTAGCAAGATATAGAATAGCACAGCGATTACAGCAATGGGTTGAAAGGTGTCACAGAAGAGAGATAAATAAGGCATGGGACAGAATAAGGTTTATATCTGTGGCTCATAAGGTCCCTCAGTCATAGTTGACAAAACAACACTTAATAACAACAACAAATATATATATATATATATATATATATATATATATATATATATATATATATATATATATATAGTCTTGGACATTTTGTTGGTAGGTGGGTGTGTGTTTGTGTTTACAACAAGCTCAACATCAAGAAGACAACGATTCTCACCACTGAGCTGATTGGTAGCACTGTGATGGATGGAGAAGAGATTGAGGTTTTTACAGCTTGCTCGGCTCCACAATCAACAGTCTTGACATTAGCAGTTAGGAAAGCAAAACACTGCACCAGGCAAATCTACTGTCAGAGATATTTCCAGAGTACTAAGAAGCAACAATGTCACTCTAGACACTCAAGTGTGCCTGATCCAGTCCATGGTCTTCACAATTACTTGCTATGCATCAGAGAGCTGGACAATGACCAAGAATCACAGACGAATTGATGTATTTGAGTTGTGGTGTTGGTGAAGAGTCTTAAACATGGACCTCCAAGAAAACAGATAGGTCTTCTTGGAGAGGGTAAAACCAAGTTTCTCCGTGGAGAATAGGATTTTGAAGCTCAGTCTCACATACTTTGGGCAAGTGGCCAAGAGGCACCAATCCCTGGAGAAGACCATCATGCTTGGAAAGGTGGAGGGACAGCAAAGGAGAGGAAGACCCCAGATGAGATGGATGGATACAATAACTTCGGCAATGGGGGTAGGTATGTCGGAGTCAGTGAGACTGGATCAGGACAGGGTAGGCTGAAAAGCTATAGTACACAGGGTCGCTATGAGTTGCAGGCAACTCGACAGCACATAAAATCAACAACAGCAACCTATAATATATCTATTGCAGGGAGCTCCAATGACCTAGTGTTAGACAGCTGCACTCCCAATCCAAAGGCATAACGTTTTCATTCTCCAGTTGCTCTGTGGGAGAAGGCTGGGCAACATCTTTCCATGCAATTAAGTGAAAACCCACTGGAGGGTCAGCTTTGGGTCAGTCCTGACTCTATGGTCCTTACACAACAACAACATGTATTAATGCACAGCATGACTATGGAAATTATGAGACTTTAAAATTCCTGCTCAGCTGAGTTTTTCCTACTACATGCACCTACTATACCTCTCTCAACCAGATTTCAGTGGGGTGCATGTTTCACCACTTTCTCTTTCCTCACTTTCTACACTTTCAAGATTATAGTTCCTGACGTCTTGCAATTAACTTCTCTGCTCACACTCTCCTTTATGTTAATACAAGGTTTTTCTCTCCTGGTAACAATTAGGAGATAGACAGATAGATATGATGATAGATGATAGATAGATAGATAGATAGATAGATAGATAGATAGATAGATAATAGATGATAGATTTATTTCACATCCTTTGACTTGTAGAGAAAAAAAGAAACATCCATTCCCTTACGACCTTATGATTATTGTTGATTGCCTTGGAATAGAGCATGACTCATAGTGACCGTATGAATAAACGTCCTGAAGCACCTCTACAACTATCAACATTTACCAAAGTTCATAGAGTTTCTGGAGGCAAGGAAGTGGATGCCACTCCTGCTTCTTAGAAACCACGACTTACTAGATTATGTTTTTGTTACTGTTGACTGCTGTCAAGATGAGCACGACTCATAGTGACCCTATGAACAAAAGACATGAGGCCTTTCTTTTTTCTTTTCTGAAGCATTTCTATAACTCTCAGTTTCTCAGTGTTCATAGTTTATAACTCTCATTGTTTCTCAAAGTTCATAGTTTCCAGAGGCATGTTGTTTAAGAAGTGGATGCCATTCCTACTTCCAAAACTAGATTATAGGTAATACTATTCTATTTCCACAAGATGGAATTTGGCTTAAATCTAATATTATCAACCAATATAAATGGCACTTGTATTAGTATTTTTAAATACACTATTGTATGACAATGGACCCTGGAAATTTCTGTTTTATCTCAGTTGGCATTATACTAGAATCTTATTTCTTCTAAATTTAGTAGTATTTACATTTGAAAAGTAGATTTTGGGAAGTTTGGTATACTCTTGCAAAGAAAAGAAAGAGTGTTATGTTTGGGGGAAAATCCACTGTATACATAATCTGAGGAGCTGAACAATTATTAAGAATATCAGAATAATTTAGACCTTTGAGTTGTGGTGTTGGAGAAGAGCAGTGAATATTCCACTGACTGTCAAAAGAACAGTTAAATATGTCGTGAAGAAAGTGTGGTCAGAGTGCTCCTTGGAGGCAAGAATGATAAAGCTTTGTCTCACATACTACAGGCATAGTGATAGGAGAGGATATTCCTTGGAGAGGGGTATCATGCCTGGGAAGGTAGAGGGCTGATGAAAGAGAGGAAGACCCTCAACTAGACGGGCTGACACAGTGATTGCTACAGTGGGCTCAAGTGTGTTAGGAAGTGTGAAGATAGCACAGGACAGGACAAGGGTTCAGAGAGTCACTAAGGGTTGAGATGTATATGTATATGTGTATGTGTGTATATGTGCATATGTATGTATGTGGATGCATGTGTATGAGTGTGTATGTTTATGCATGTATATGTATGTGTGCATGCATTACTGTTGTTGTTGCATGCCGTCAGGTTAGAACTAATCCAAAGCTGATCCTCTAGCAGATTCTCTGAGGTAGTTTATTGTATGGGAGGAATTGCTCTTCTTTCTCTCAGGAGCAGCTGGTGGATTAGAACCACATACCTTTGTGATTTCAGTGCAGCTTCTTACTACTAGGCCATCAGACTATTAAAGTAGCCACAATAGAAATTGTGATAATTGGATATTTGTCGTTTTAAGATGGCCTCCAATGGGATTACTCTGTTAAGGGTTGTCATCTAGGATCCTATTCTTAGTTGAAAAAAATAAAAATTCTGTGGATTTAATTCCATAGAGAGACTGCCCATTGAGCCTATACTAGGTAGCATTAAACTAGCTGGTAAATAAGTTAAATGAATCTGAGTGCCATAGAGATTTAGTTAATTAGAAATTTAACTATGCCAGGTAAAAGACATCCCAGAGGATAGAGAGAAGTATTATTATTTCAAAAGCATCCCATCTTCAGATTTAAAAGTAGATTGGATACCTTTGATGATAGAAGTCATTTTGGCCAAAGTAAAACAAATATGTAAATGTTTAACAAATATGTAAATATTTAAATTCCCTTCACCAAAGAACACAATTACTCCTTATATCACAAGACTCAAATCCAGCTTTATGCTCTTTTCTGACCCTTAGATGCACCATGAGGCAGAAGAGAACTGTCCACCAGGTTTCCACACCTATAAATCTTTAAGGAAGCCAATGCCATATCTTTATCTGGCAACACACCTAAGGGGTTTTAACTTCTGACTTACTGTTAAGGTTTCAATGCTTTAATCTCTACATCACCAAAGAGGTTAATTTCTCTATTGCAAATGCTAAATATAAAAATATGTAATTATTTTTTACTTTAGGTCCGGATACTATTAAAATTATTGCTTATTAAATAAGTGCTTTCCTAAAGGAGTGTGGAATTTCATCTCACATACTTGAGGCATGTTTTCAGGAAGACCAGTCCTTGGAAAAGCACATCTTCCTGGGAAAGAGAGGGGGTCAGTGAAAGGGAAGAAGATGTACAACTGGATGGATTGACATAGTGATCACAAAGAGCTGGAGCATGACAGAGGGCAGGAGAATCGTGTAGTTTAGGGCAAGGTTCAGACAGCTTGTTCGTAGGGTAGCTATGAGTTATAGTCAACTTGAAGATATCAAACAAAACAGTTTGTCTTTGGATTCCATAAAAGGAGCCTTGGTAACATTGTGCACTGATGTACAGATTATAATGAAAGGGTCACCAGTTCCAACTTATGAGCCACTCTGTGACAGAAAGTTAGCATGTCTCCATCAGTAAACATTTATAGCTTTGGAAACCCGATCTAGGGTTGAGATGAGTTGGAATCATCTTGATATTAGGACGTTTGGTTGTTAGCTCTATCTTAAGAGATTTTATATAGACAAAGAAGTGATAAAAGACCATATTGGGCATCAGAAGAGACTCTGAATATTTCACCAGAGAGAGAGGAAGCCAAAACAAAGGGAAGAAATCAAGAAGTTAAGGAGCTGCACAATAGATTTAAAATGGCAGCACAAGAAGGCAAAGCTAATTATTATAATGAAATGTGCTAGAGATGGAGTTTGAAAATAAAAAGAGCTGAAGACCGAACTTGCTCATCATTTCTTTTCTTTTTCTTTTGTTGTTGTTGTTGTTGTTGTGTGCCATCAAGTCAGATCTGACAGGCACAGAAGGAGATCACCCCTTCTTTTCATTCTCTAGTGGAGCATGTGGTGGATTCGAACTGGCTCGTCATTTCTTAAACTGAAGAAGCTGAAGAATCTGAAAAACAAATTCAAGGCTTGGGTTGCAATATTGAAGAATGTAATTGACAGAACATTAAATGATCCAGGAAGAATCACAAGAAAATGGAAGGAGTCTACAGAGTCACTATAACAAAAGGAATTGGCTGACACTGAAGAGTTTCATGAAGCAACATATGATTAAGAGGCAATGATGTTGAAGGAGGAAGTTCAAACTGCTCTGGAGTAATTGGTCTAGAACAGGACCCAGGAAATAACAGTATACCGACGGACATATTTCAGCAGTTACAACCCTGGACATGTTTACCACATTGTGCCAAGTAATCTGAAGGACAACTACTGGGTCAATGGACTGGAAGAGATCCATATTGACTCCTATCCCCCAAAAAGGTGATCCGACAGAGTGTGGAAGTTATTGAACAATATCACACACAAGCAAAATCCTGCTGAAGATTGTCCAAAAATTACAGGAACAGTGCCTTGACAGAGAACTGCTAGAAATACAAACTGGATTTAGAAGAGGTCTTGGCACTAGATATGTTATTGCCAATGTCAGATGTATTTTCACAGAAAGCAAAGAGTACTAGAGGAATGTCTATCTGTGCTTCAATGACTATGCACAGGCATTTTGACTGTGTAGATAACACCAAATTATGGCTAACCTTGAAAAAAAATGGGAATCACAAAAATTTGATTGTGCTCATGTGAAACCTATAAGTGGACTAGTAGGCAGTTGTTAGAACAGGGAAGGAAACACTGCAGAGTTCAAAATTGGGAAATGAGTCCATCATGGATGTTTCCTGTATTAATACCTGTTCAATCTACATGTGGAACAGATAATTCATGAGGCTAGACTTTATGAGGAGAACTGTGATATAAGGACTGGAGGAAGACTCCTCAATAGCCTGTGTTATGCAGATGACACCTTGCTTACACAAACTGAGGAGGACTTAGAAGCATTTCCTGCAGAAATTCAAGGACTGTAATCTTCAATGTGAATTGAAGTTTAACATCAAGAAGATAAATATTGTCACCACTGGGCCAACTGGCAGCACGTGATGGATGGAGAAGCAATTGAAGTTGTTAATACTTTCAGCTTTCTTCACAATTAACACTCTTGGCACCAGCAGTCAGGAAATCAAAAGACAAACTACATTGGAGAAGTATGCTTTCAGTGACGTCTCAAAAATATTGAAGAGCAGTGATGTCAGTCTAGAGACTAAGGTGCACCTGATCCAGACCATAGTCTTTACAATTACTTGGTATTCATCAGAGATCTGGACAGTGAGTAAAGATTATAGAAGAATTGATGCCTTTGAGTTGTGGTACTGGAGAAGAGTATTAAACACAACCATGGACCTCCAGGAGAACAAATAGGTCTGTCTTGGAAAAAATGAAACCAAGTTTCTCCTTGCTAGCTAAGATTTTGAAACTCTGTCTCATACATTTTAGGGACATGGCCAGGAAGTACCAGTTCTTGAAGAAGGACATCATGCTCAGAAGGGTGGAGGGACATCACTTCTTTCATTATCCTTATTCATTTCTCAGCTTTCAGATGCGTAGCAAATAATTGCAAAGACCATGCCTGGATTAGGCACACCTGAATCTCTAGACTGACATCATTGCTTGTCATTACTCCAGAGAGGACCCCGACAGCAGATTTCCCCAATGTAATTCACCTTTTGATTTCCTCACTGTTGGTGGTAAGAGAGTTGATTGTGGAGCTGAGCAAGTACATAATTACAATATATTGTTGTTGTTGTGTTGTAGTTGTTGTGTACCATGTTAGAACCAACCCATAGCTGACCCACCAGTGGGTTTTCAGAGGCAGCTAATCATATAGGAGGAGAAGATTTTTCCATCCTTCTCTTGAGGAACAGCTGGTGGATTCAAACTGAGTGCATTTGGGATTGCAGCATAGCTTCTTACCACTAGGCCACCAGTGCTCAGGCAGAATGTTGTTGTTGTTGTGTACCATAGAGTTGGAGCTGACCCATAGCTGACTTTTCATTGGGTTTTCAGGGGCAGTTAATTGCATAAACAGAGACTGCCCATCCTTTTCCCGCGGATTACCTGGTACATCGGAACTGCATGCCATACTGATTGCAGCACAGCTTCCTGCCACTAGGCCACCAGAGCTCTCTGTAATATAGTATATGTAATAAATACATAATTAGATTATATTACATTACGGAGCTCTGGTGGCCTAGTGGCAAGAAGCTCTGATGCAATTCCAAAGGCAAGCAGTTCAAGGCCACCAGCTGCTCTGTGGGAGAAGGATGGGCAATCTCCTCTTATAAGATTAAACTGCTTCTTAAAATTGACCAGAGTGTCAGCTACGGGTTGGTTCTGACTCTGTGGTACACACAACAACATTATATTATATAATTATAAAAAATTAATTTATAATTTATACTTAGCAGCATTTGAAAGTTCCAATGTGATGTTCTACTTGCCTATCAACCCTCAGTTTTGTCACACTTATCATTTTTACCCATTACACTAAAATGGACTACATAAATTTGTACTTTCATTTTGAATAGTTATCATTCATGAGATAAGGCATACTTTCTTGTTTGTGATTTTTTTCCTTTTGTGAAAGACTAGACTACATCTTGATAAAACAGGAAAAGATAGAAGCCACCAGTTGTTTCATTTTACTTGACTCCATGATAGAAAATCTAAAAAATCAAAAGACAAAATTCAACAGGATAGCAAACAGGAACGATGCAAGGATGCAGAGAGACTGGAAGTCTCATACATAAGATTGTAGATAAGATAGTAGAATTACCTTACCACTGTAGAAGACAGTATGACATCTCCTAAAAAATTACATATTAATGAAACATAATGTAAAGGTACTATATGAAAATCAACTAAAATATTTTTTAAAATGTAAAAA